GTACATTGGTGGAATACGTGTTTCGAACGAATGAAGACCTCTCCTCCAGAAACCGGGGGAGGGCTCAGCACTTGTTGCTCTTGCAGAGGATGAGGGTTCAATTCCCAGCACCCACGTGGTGGTCCACAACCATTCTTAATATCCCAAGTTCCAAGGGACCTGACATGCTCTTTGGGCATCTTCGTGTACCGGGGCATGCACAGCGTGAACACACATCCATGTAGGTAAGACATTCATGCACATAAAATGGAGGATGAAGAGGGGGAGGAGGGGGAAAGCGTTCTCTCTACCACTGAGTCGTATTTGACCTTCTGTTCCTTTTGAAGCTGGATTGAGGAAAGGAATGGAGTTGTTAAAATTTACATGAAAATGCTCGGGGTAGGGATTGGAGAGATGGCTCAGCAGTTAACAGTGCATGTTGCTCTTCCAGAGGACCCATGTCAGGCTGTTCACAACTACCTGTAACCTCAATTCTCCTATGTGTACTGTGTCTTCTATGTGTACCTGCACACACACACACACACACACACACACACACACACACACACACACACGGCATGTACACATACATACACAGATAGAAAAATGAATTTTTTAAGGTCTAGTGTAGAGACTATTACAGAAATTCCGAAGCTATGTTTGACTCTAAAGAAAATGACAGCCTTACCTAGTGAAACTCAATACATAGAATTCTCCAAGTTACTTCTTTTAGGTACCCTTTTTCTCCAGGTTCTGGGGGCCTGTACCTCTCCTGAGAGACATAAAAAAAAAAAAAGCCGCATCACTCCTGGGGAAACAGCGCAGTGACTGGAGAAGCAGCTCTGAGGTAGAGCCCTTGCCTGGATGCCTGAGACCCTGGCTTCCATCCCCAGAGCTGCAGAAACAAAACCGCAAAGCATCGCCTTGTGTGTCAGACTTCTCCCCACCAGGAACTATCTACCAGCTCAGGGAGAAAAGGTTTACCTCGGCTCACGGTTTCAGGGGTGTCAGAACACCGTGGCAGGGGGGGGCATGGTGGAGCGGAGAAGCTCACGCAGGGCAGCCAGGAAGCGGAGAGAACGCCTGCGGTCCCGGCTTTCTGCTTTTTCACCCGGTCGCTCTGGCTGGGCTGGAACTCACTATGTAGACCAGGATGACCTCAAACTCTCAAAGATCTGCCTGCAACTGGTGACATCCTTTGGGAATTTCTGGGAAGTAGGAGTTGGTTATAACGGACCTGCTCCCGCAGTCAAAGGCAGTGAGCACATGGTCACCACTGAGTTCTGCGACATCAGTGGTCCCCGCTCTTCCTGTCTGCTCTGTCCTATCACAGCATGGCTGGCAAAACAAACAGAAAACCAAAAAGATGTGTCTCTAGAGCCCAAGCTCAAAGCTTTTCCTTCTGTGTCCATCCAAATGCTATCAAGGGTTTGTGATTCGGCTTTGCAGTGTGTGTAGCATACACGAGTCATCTGAGTTGGTTTGGGGACCCTCAGTTGTTTTAAAGATCACTGCTCTTGGGTTTAACCCTACCTTATACCTTCCCACCAACCAGGCCTAAAATCTGACCCTATTATAACATATGAGACCAGAAATATCGCTCACCTAACCAGAGACATGGCTGGTTAGCCTATGCCATTTTAAGAACATGCCAAGCCGGGCGGTGGTGGTGCACGCCTTTAATCCCAGCACTCGGGAGGCAGAGCCAGGCAGATCTCTGTGAGTTCGAGGCCAGCCTGGGCTACCAAGTGAGTTCCAGGAAAGACGCAAACCTACACAGAGAAACCCTGTCTCGAAAAACCAAAAAAAGAACATGCCAATTAGCCCAGTGGCAGTGGCACACGCCTGTAATCCCAGCACTCGGGAGGCAGAAGCAAATGGATCTCTGAGTTTGAGGCCAGCCTCATCTACAGAGTGAGTTCCAGGACAGCCAGGGCTACACAGAGAAACCCTGTCTTGAAAACAAAAACAAAAACAAAACAAACAAAAAACAGAACATGCCAATTACAGTCCCCCGGCATCTCTTCCGCCTCCATGGTGAGGAACTAGACTATCACAGACTTAAGAAGTCAACCTCAGTTCACCTGCTGCATCTTTCAAGAATAAGGGAGCTTAAACCCTCTGCCTCACATTCCTCGGGGGGCCAATCCATACCCTCCCAACAGCACCCCCTTTCTTCTCACTAACTGCTGCTCACTGTTCCTGTGGATGGATGGGAACTCTACTCTGGGTCCTGGACTCAAATGTTCCTCTGGTTCTAGCTGCCAGCTCTCCATCACTGCCCAGAACAGACACATCGATTCTGTTTGCTACCAGTGGATGTTTAGGGAACTCGGTACTGGTTCTGAGGGCTACTTCTCCTCTGACTGCATAGCCTAACTCTAAGGATTGAAAGTGGTGAATGCTAAAAGTTAAGCATCTCAAGATTACAGAAGCAAAGGAGAAAGCTGGCCGTATGCAAATCTGCACTAGCAAGCAGAGTGTGCAAGTGGGGAGGACTTCACTAGCAAACAATTCACCTCTCCCAATGGACCTGGTATACGTTATGGGGAGATCTCCAGTCTCCCCTGGTGTCCACTCCACGGCAGTCTTGACCTGGTACAGAGACCAACCCTCAGACGCTCAAGCTGTCCATTTCCCGGTCAGCCTGCAGGAAGAAGCAAAGTCGTAACTATCCAGACTAAGGAATAAGCCAACTCATTTGACGGAACCAGCCAAGAGCTGCACTCTGCCGACAGCCCAAGCTGTGGCTCATTTCTCTGCTTCAAGTGGTCAGAACGACACTGTCATACTTCAGGGGCAGCCTCTGCCTCTCAGGCTTCAGCAAATCCCCCCACAAAGCCACAGCCCCTCTCCACCCTCCGGATGCTGCTATCTGCCGAGCTCTAGACCTCCCGGCGAAGGGCAGTCAGAAACTGTTCTGAGAAGAGCGACTCGAGTATCAGCTCTTTTGAATACTTTGGTTTTAGCCAATAGTAGCATGGCTTCTGCAGGAGGATGAGGACCTCAAGCATCCTGATGCCTCCAGATATTGGAACCCTAGTGAAGATCGCAAGTGTTAGATCAGTAGGATTAAAGAAAAGAGAGAGCCCTGCTCTCTGCCCAGCTAACTGCCCCGGTGCTGGGGCAGTGTGGTCTCTATATAAGAGGAGCTTGAAGCGTGCTTGCATTGCAGTTCACTCAAGGCTGAGAAAACCCAAGTTATCCGTATGGGACAATGTGGAGCTCCTATATGTGAACCAATAATCTGCCCACCCTCCTTAGCTAGCGTTCCAAATAGCAGGGGATTTTGAAATAAAGCCCAGAGTGAATCTGAGGTCCTACAGGACAGCTGTACTTGGAGAGGCCTTCAGTTTCCTCCAGCCCCCCACCCTCCAAGTAGGTCACTGTTCTTGAGCTCCCCAAAAGAGAATTCAAACTGGACACAGCAACACAGCAAACGCTAAGAATCTAAGTGTAGCAAGCGAGGATAAGAGCTGAGCAGCAATGGCCTCTATCGGGGCAGGCACAGGGTTTAAATTTCTCTTTCCCCTGTAATTCCTCTCCTATACCTTCCCCCGGGGTGAGAACTCACAGGAAAAGGGTACATTAAAAATAGGGTTTTTTTTTTTATAGATATGGGTATTTTGTCTGCATGCGTATATATGTGTACCACGTGGATGCCTGGTGCCATGGATCATCTGGAACTGGAGTTACAGATAGTTGTGAGCCACCATGTGGGTGCTGAGAATTGAACCCAGGTCTTCTGGGGGAGCAGCCAGTGTTCCCAGTCACAGAGCCTTTTCTCCAGCACCCAGGGTACATTCTACTTGGAAGCCTCTTTTGCTAAATGCTTCCAGAATTTAGTCTAAGAAGACGCGTAAGAAGCCAGAATATGGGGTTGGAGAGATGGCTCAGAGTGGTTAAACGCACCTGCTGCTCTTGCAGAGAATCAATCAGTTCCCAACACTCAAGACAAGTGGCTCATAACTTTGCCTGTGACTCCAGTCTCGGGAGATTCCAGCACCCTCTTCTGGCCTCTGGGGTAACTGCAGGCATGTGGTGCCAATACAAACAAGCAGGTACTCACACATTAAAAACAAACTTAAAGAGTAGGTAATATATATATTTTTTCTAAATTTAGGCATAGATATTGGAGTTTAAATACCCCTGAAGTTGAAAAGGATACTGTGCACACTCCTCTTGTGAGGAGTTTCCTGAGGCCAGTTTGAGCTGACTCATAGGGCACTACCAAGTACTATTCTTCACATCCTGTTTTGGGGAGCTGAACACCACCAACTACTGTTTTTACTTCGTTTTGTTTTGCTCTATTTTGTTTCGCGAGACAGGGTCTCACTTTGTAGCCTTGGCAGGCCCGGAACCCATTATGTAGACCAGGCTAGCCCCAAACTCATAGAGCTCCAACCGCCTCTGCCTCCCGAGTGCTGACATTAAAATAGTGTGAAGTAAAGACCAGGCCAACTTCTGTTTTTTAGTTCTGTTTTCCCTGTCCGTGGGTCAGTCCCTTCCAGAGCTGACTTTCTTTTAAAAGCTGAAGTACCTAGAAGAGCAGCACCTGGACGAACCAGCCCCAAAGCTGAGATTCAAGTGCTCCAACTGCTGAGCTGGGTGTCTCTGGCTAGACTCTCAACCTTGATCAGAACTTCTTAGCCCTAATATAACTCTCTCCCACACAGGGGGTCATTACTTCTTAAGACTGCAAGGTTTATGAACAGATAATAAAAAAATGCAGGACCACAGGAAGCTAGTATTGGAAGTTACCGGGTACTCTAACTACAGCTCTGTCGGAACTGAAACAATCATGACGCAGGTACCCCGGGGACTTGGCCCAGGTTGCATGGTTGGCTCGAGACCAGAAAGAGGAAGGCTGCTCTGCTCCAGACCCCATGTATTCTGGAACGTTTTGGTGGCAAACGCAGTCCCTGCGGACCGGAGTGGGGTGGAAGCTACAAGATTAGGGATATCCTCTCCAAGCCCAGTGAGCAGAAGACCTGCCCCCATCGCCAAGAACGCAGCCAGTCAAGAGGGCAGGGGCAGCCTGACCCTCTCAGCCTGGCCACGCCCGCCCGGCGGGGCGGAGCCAGGCCGGAGCCTCTTCCTCCTGGACCACAATGCATCCTCACGTGACCCTCAACCCTGCGGGGATCCGAAGCTCGACTGGACAACCCAAGGCCAGAGAACCCGAGAAGCAGAGCCATGAGCCCCAGGACTCAGCAATTACTACATTTCCCATAGGCCTCCACACCCAGACTGACAGCAGCAGTACCCAATGAAGTACGAGGACGCCTCAACGCCTATTTGCAGGAGGCGAATCGTTGGCGAGGGGCGGGACCTTCGCGCTTCTTTGCGGCGGGAAGGTGCGGTCGTTGTAGCCGCAGGAGGATTGGTCCTACAAGCGGGATGGGTCACCACTCCGGGCGCCGAGCACCCCGGGCCTTTTCAAAGTTCACTCACGGCAGGGGCAGAGGTATTTATTCTTACCTGGTGTACAGGTGAATCACCAGTATGGAGCTCCAAGTCAGGTTGTCATTTTCTACCCTGTAACGTGCCTATCATGCGAAACTGCATCACACTTCCTTATTTCCTGCACACTCAGGCCTCGACACTAACTCATCAATAGCCAACTGTGGGGAATCTGTTCGGGGCAAGCACTGGACTAGAGCTATGCTGTGGTGGGAAAAAGAAAAAGCACAGCATTCCCGGTGGAGTCGAGTCAGGCGGAGAGAACCCTTCCAAAATGCTGCTCTGAACAACCCAGTGCCCTGCAGGGCAGCGTGCTTCGCGCCAAGTGCAGGTGTGTTCAAAGCCAATGTGTGGGAATACTGCAGAGGGGCCGGGAGAGCCCAGAAGGGAAGAGGGGGTGGGGGCGTCAAGGAAAGGGGGCAGGAAGGCACTTAGCACTTAATTTAATCTGGGTTTTTGAGGCTGCAATGGGTACCTTATCTGTAATTCCAGCATTCAGGGATAGGCAGGAAAATGGAGACTTCTGGCCAGCCTGGGCTACACAGGGAAGACCTTGCCTCAAAAATAAAAACTGTTGTGTTTTTGGTATTTGGTGTTAAGGACCAAACCCAGGGTCTGACACATGCTAACCACATGCCGTTACTGGGCTCTCTCCCTAGCCCCTTGCACTATTTACCAGGTGAAAATTCCAAAAAGCCAGGATGACGGGAGAGACCAGTAACGAGACTGGGCCTTGGAGATTTCTCTGTCTTCAGGAGTTATGAGGCGGCTTATGTGGAAACCCAGGCCAGCACACGACTAGCTCCAACCCATTCCCTGGACCAGCCTAGGAGTTTCAGAGTTGCCTTAGGGACCAAAACGGTTTGACAAAGGCCTAGCCCGGGAGAGTTTGGGGTTCTCATCCTTTGACAGATTTTACTCCTGGAGTGACATCTTTCACTTCGTAGTGTTCTCCAACAATTGCTTCAAGCAGGTGTTACACACTCAGAGTTGAGAGATCCTAGGGTGAGCAGCAGAGAGGAATTCAAGGACAAGTGGGCCCTGGGGCCACAGCCGCTGCTCAGGTTACCAAGACTACCTAGACCACAGGGAATTGATCTGTCTCTACACCTCTCCACCACTCACAAAGTTTTATATCCATTTCCTCCATGGCTTTGGGTAATTTTTTTTTTTTTTTTTTTTGGTTTTTCAAGACAGGGTTTCTCTGTGTAGCTTTGCACCTTTCCTGGATCTCACTCTGTAGCCCAGGCTGGCCTCAAACTCACAAAGATCTGCCTGCCTCTGCCTCCCGAGTGCTGGGATTAAAGGCGTGCGCCACCACCGCCCGGCGGCTTTGAGTAATTTTGTCTGAAGTGAAAAAAGAAAAAAAAAAGCTATTATTTTGCCCAAAGATCTGAAAAAGCCTAACAGAACTCCTCATGTGAAAATCTCCATGGCCATCTGAGAGACAGTGGGTGGAACAAGGCAGCTGTCCCCATGGAGCCTCCTGGTTCTGAGGTAGAGACCCCTGCCCCAGTCGGGGTAAAGGGCCACGAAAAATGATTGTCACCTGCAAGGACTGATCAATTACAACGGTGACAGCCCTGCTGACTGGAGGGACGATGGGAAAGGAGCTAACATGTCGATTTTATAGTATCTGTTCTTTCATCCGTTTGTTCCTGTTAGTGTCTTGTGCTTCGCCTTGGTGTTTGAGACTTAAAAAAGTGTATATGGGGGCAGGGAAGGCACAAAATGATGCAAATGTAGAGGTCAGAGCCCAGCTTCTGGGGGTCAGCTTCCTCCTTTCTCTGCATGGGACTCAGGTTGTCAGGCTTGGTGGCCATCTTCTTTACCACTGAGCCTTCTTTCCTGCCTGAGACACTTTTTGCCATGTAGCACAGGCTAACCTTAAACTTGGTATGGGGCTAGAGGGTTTTCATCTTCTAATGCTGGGATTATGGGTTTGTGTCACCATTCCCTTTCTTATGGCTTTGATAATAAATTTGAATGCCCAGTGCGGTGGCCAATGAATGTAACCCAGTACCTGAAAAGCTGAGGCAGGAATATCTGTAAAACTGAGGCCAGCCTGGGCTAGACTCTCAGACCTTGCCTCATGTAAACAAAAGTAAAAGTTTAAGAGAAACTAATATGACGTAGCTAAGTGACCAGAGGGGTGTGGTTAGCAGGTACTAGTAATGGTACCAAGTACCTCAAGTCTCCACTGTCCTGGAGTGAGGCTACTTACTTACCTCAGAAAGTTGTCAGGGAATGAGAGGTCAGGAGGAGCTTACACAGCCTCTCTGTCACTGTGATGTATAAGATATCATGGTGTGTCTCAAACTAAAGGAGAATTCTGTGGAGATCTCATATGACTTGATTCAATTGTAAAATACTAAAAGCAGAAGTGTGTGACACAATTTTTGTCTAGAACCTTGTCTGACCAGCTTCCCACACTCTACCCACACCATCAACTTCAGGGCAGATGCAAAGTGGCACATGTGGGTCCTGCTGCTCCGTTGTTTCTGGATCTGGGTGCTGGTCGCATAAGTGTATGCAGCTTGTGAGACTGAAATAAGCTATATCCTTTAATGTACTTATCTGCCATAGTTCAGTAAAAATTTAAAATACGGGGGCTGTCTCAGGGTATGATTATATACTGGATTAATGTATGAGAGTCGCTGGGCATGGTGGCACATGAAACAGTAGTCCCTTGAGAAGTAATTGGGAAGTACTTGGGAAGCAGAGGCAGGAGGATCACTATAAGTCTATGGCTAGCCATAGCTACAAAAGAAGACCCTTATGTGATGGATATTGTTGGTTGTTAACTTGACATCTGGAATTAACTAAAACCCATTTGACTAGCCACACCAGTGAGGGATTTTTGCTTAATTAAATCATGTGAAGTGGGAAGATCCATTTCTAACCTGGACCCACCTCTAATCTGAGCCACGCCTTCTGCTGGAAGACTCTAAAAGGACATGGAAGAAGGAAGCTTCTCCCTTTGCCTGTTTGCTCTCTCCTTGCTAACAAGTCCATTCCTGCACTGGCATTAAAGCCTACTTCTTCAGGATTCCAGCATTATAACTGAAGCCCAGCTGAGACATCCAGCCTCACAGACTGAGCAACTGCTGGGTTCTTGGACCGTCCATTCATAGGTAGCATTGTTGGATTAGCTGGACCATAGCCTGTAGGTCACTCTCATAAATCCCCTCTTTATAGAGAGGTTCATTCTGTAAGTTAAGGGTACTCTAGAGAACCCTGACTAATACACTGTCTCAAATAAAAAAAAAAAGCAGTAAAAGTAATCTATAATCTCTGAAGTTTCACTTCTTATCCAAATGGGGTTGAGGGGAAGATCCAGATTTCAACTACAGAATAAGCCTGAGGTGATGGCAGTCTGGGCAATGGATGATCTCTGTCATTTTTTAATAGATTTGGAAGTCTGCACTCAGGTAGAATGTATCCTTCTCAGGTCTCTGATGGCACTGATGACTGGGCTAGCTATAGCTTCGTCAGCTTAGAAACATCAGGCAACCAGAGTCTTCCACGAGGTCGCAGCCACCTTATTAATTGATCAATGTATTAATTAAAGCTACTAAGTCTCTTAAAAAAGAGAGAGAAAGAGATAAACAGGTTCTGAATATAGACTTACAGATGCTTTTCATGGGGCCAAAGACATTTCAGTCCAATCTGTATCTGGCTCTCTAGGTAGAAAAGACAGTATGTATTTCAAGGCAAATTGATAATACTACAGGTACTGAGACTATGGGTCTGAAAGTTCCTAATGAGTTCATAAGTTTTAACTCCTGTTCCTAGTTTATATCTGTCACAACAGGTTTCCACTTGGCTGACAGACACATGCAAGCATCATTTGCTGAAGAGCCCTGGACTTGCTAAAACCTGATATGGACCAACTTAGCTGATATACATGCCATCTCTTCAGCTGGTCAATAAAACGCTCCCTCCCTGCCTTTGACTAACATTCCGGCTTTCCAGGGCCCTGACAACAACGTCCCAATATCAGCAGGAGGTAACTGCAGAAGAGAAAACATCGCCCTTGTTCCCCCCTACCCCAGAATGTTAGCTCAAATGGGAATTTATGTCACAGGGAACCTGAGATAAAGCAATAACTGGTTCCCATCTCATTTCCAAGTTCCCTCAGGATAAGGAACTCTGTCAGCCATCACAGGGCTTTTGGCCCTTGTGCTTCTGCTAATTACTGTTGGCTCTTATGTCACTGATGTCTTAACTAAATGAAGATTCCTGTCTGGGTACCACTAAACTGATGATGCTAGAATCCCAAGATCAGCCCCTGGGCCAAAGCCATGACATACTTGCAGATGGCAAAAACTGAATAAAAGGAGGCTCACTTTGCCGTTGATAATGGGAAAACTCTTATGTCTTGGTCCAATTAGTCTCCAAAATAATCTACTACCCTGGTGATAAAGTCTTTTACCAAAAAGAAACATCTCCAAGATTGGAGATGATATACTACTCAGAGGGGAATGAAAGGACCAAGCAGATGCCATAACAGGCTGCTCAGTCTTCTCTCAGAGATCAGGCCTCAATTTCAGTTTCCTGAGACTTGAGCAAGCAGTTTCTGGGAGGGCCATGAACAAAAGACATAGTCCTTGCAGTAGCTCCCTTTCTGCATGTACTCTGACTGCTCAAAGTTCAGCCAGATGTTTACTGTCTGGGACCCCTCACCAACTTAGAGCTACGTGCATGAGTCAAGGACAGAGCCTGGGCCACTGAGCAGCCCCCACAGTCAGTATTTGCTAGGTCAGCCAGCCTCCATGGTAGCTCAAGGACAGAACCTGGAACTTATCCAGACATGCCCAAAAATGATAACTGTAACCCCCAACCAGTAAATTCAAAGGTTGCATACCCTCACCCCATCATATGATGCCAAGGCTTATACCACCCTGCTTGTGGTTTTTCCCTTTAAAAATGGGGACTCAGGGCCGTCTTCCTCCACCCGCTGTGTTGAGTGTTGGACACAGACCAAGCCCAAGCTTGTTTGTTATCAATAAACCCCTGTTTTATTGTGTTTCATATCTGATATCAGCTCTGTGGTGTTCCTGCTTGGGGATCTTGCAACATGGGCACAACACCATAATAAAACCCTGAGGTGGCTATGTTGGTACCTGCTTGTAATCCTAGCACTTGGAAATTAAGCCATGAGGCTCAGTTCAGTATCACCCTTGGCTACAGATAGAGCTTAGGAGCAGCATGTGTTACATGGGAAACTACTCCAGCTCTGCTCCCTTCCTGGACAGATTCAAATATTTGTTATTTGACACCTAATAGGCGTCTATAGTTTTCCCTAAACCTAGCACAATGACGGTAATAGTATTCAATGACTACTTGCCAAATATGCGAGTGGATGGAATCACAGATGGATCTTACAGCCTACTTGTTTTCCCAGTCTACCACCATCACTGCTAAGCATGCCCCATTGCCTAAATTAACTGATTCTGAATAATGTCATCTCACTTCTTAGCCAAATGTGTCACACTAAATCTTGAGTGACAGGAAGCTAGGCTGGCCTGGATCTGTATAGTTCAGCTTGGCTTTGAACTTGTGATCTATCTCTGGCTCTCAAGTGCTGGGTTTATAAGATTTAAGCCACTACCTCTGGCTTGGGTGACAAATATGATGTATGGTTCACAAATAGCAGTGGTGAGTAATCCAATGCTAGGTTCTTTGAGACAACTAGTTCTTTCTTCCTCAAAGTCTTAGGTCACTTTCAGCCTGCAGCAGGAGATGGGTGCAATATCCAAGTATAAGGTACAGGTTTGCTAACAGTGGAGGTCAAGTTCTTTTTATTTATTTTCTGAAACTGGGTCTCACTATGTAGTTCTGGATGTCCTGGGACTCACTATGTAGACCAGGCTGGTCTTGAACTTACAGAGATCTGCCTGACTCTGCCTCCTGAGTGCTGGGACTAAAGGCATGCACCACTATACCTGGTCAAGTTCAAGCTTTTAACACACATTAAAGATAGGATTCAGGAGCTAGGCATGGTAACCCAGGCAAGTAATCCCAGCACTCAAGAGGCCAAGGCGGGAGGCTTACAAGTTGTAGGCTAGTCTGAACTAGATAGTTCAACTCTATTTTTTTTCTAAAGGCCGAGTCAAGGAAAGAATGGGACTCTACTTGTTAATATTCAACATCCATTTTTTAAAAATGCCGATGCCTCTTCTGTAGGAGGTGATGGCTTCACATTTCTCAGGAATACTGTATCTATTCTCTCTTTCCTCACAACTCCTTCTCCAATTAGCACTTCCGCCTTCGCTTTTCCCCGGTTGGGATCCTAAGAATGAAGCCCTGTGGTAGCAGCTAAGATTATGTGTGAATCTGCAGGGCAAACTCCTGATTCAAGACCAAATCTCACCAGGGGATTCTCTTTCTTTTTTAAAGATTGATTTTTATTTTCTGTGTATGGGTATTTGCCTATATGTATATATGTGCACCATATATGTGCATATATATGCATATATGTGACCTCCCCATGGAGGTCAGAAGATGGCATCAGATTCCCCAGAACTGGAGTTTCATGTGGTTGTGAGCCGCCAAGCAGGTACTGGAGTTGAACTCGGGTCCTCTGGAAGAGCAGCAAGCACTCTGAACTGCTGAGCCATCCTGTCAGCCCCACCAGGCGATTTCGGATACCCTCAGAATCGACAGCTCCTTAAAAAGGATGCTCTTGGTATACAAAGCCTGCAGGGCTGTATTCTAGGTCCACACACATAAACTCAAAAAGTGTGCTCTGGAGAGACTGCTCAGTTGGTGAAGTTTTCACGCTGGGAAAGCATGAGGACCCCAGTTCAGTCCCAGCACCCACGCTGAGAGCCATGGGTGGTGACATGCTTGTAACCCTAATACTGGGAGGCAGCTCCTAGCTGTCCAGCCAGGAGCTTAGCATAAACAGAGAGTCCCAGATCCCAGTGAGAGACTCGTAAAAGCAAGGTGGACAGTACCTTAGGAATGACACTGGAGGCTAGCCACTGGCCTCCACTAGTACCTGCACACACATCACCATACACTTACACACACACAAATAAAATGAAAGCTGTAAGAGGCTGAGCATGTAACTCAGTAGTGTGATAGCCTGGCATGAAAGAAGCTTGGAATTCAGTCCCCAACACTGCATAAACTGAGCAGGGTGGTACACACTGGTAATCCCAACACTCAGGAGCTGATGGCAGGAGGATCAGAAGGTCAAGGTCATCCTTAAAAACATCGCAAGTTCAGGGCCAGCCTGAGCTATGGGACCCTGCCTCCAAACACCGTGTGTGCACATGTGTAAAATACGGACAGGTCGCCAACAAGTACACAGAGTGGTTCACAAGTGCTTCCATGGCGCACAGCACACGGTCCTGTTTCACTATCTCACAGCTGGGGGTCCAGGGTCAGGGTCCAAACACAAAGCTCCATGTGTCCCAGTGTGCACCCCGCACAGCCAACTTAACACAGGACTGAATGCAGACACAAACGCAGGCACACAACCCTAAGCTGGCACCTCTCCTGGCAGTCACCGTCCCTCTTACCGACTGAAGAGACCCTGGACATCAGCTCCAGGCCACACTCTCCCAAACTGTGTTCTGGAGAACACTTCGGAAACCAGAAGAGGGCTTTGCCTTCATACAGGTGATTCAGAATTGGAGATCCATCGTCCTGACCTGACCCACAGGCGGCCTGAGTGGAGCCTGACACAGGGAGGGAGCCTGGAACGTTACCAGCTCGGGGTGAAGGCACCTAAGCGGGCGAGGCCACAGCCGAACAATCGCAAGTACACAACAGTGTCCAGGATTCCCTGGAGGGCTCAGCCTAGGCTGCTGCAGACAGACTGACGTCCCATATGGAGAACAATTTCCCCACCTCAAGGGAATAGGAGCACAGAGGAATGGAGGGGCAACCAAATCAAGAAACAGAAAAGACCCGACTTCCAACCTCCCTCTCCTCCACCACTCCCTTCCGGGGCTGCACAGGACTCCAAGATAACAACGTTCTAGAAATGAGGACAGACGGTACTATGGTTCTGGCAAAAACTCCCAAAGGGTATTTGGGAAAAGCGGCTCTTTTAAGGGACAACACTGGGGGCACTGGGGGCGTCTCCCTTCAGTCGGCTCCAGCATCCCCCCCCCTTCGCTGCCCCTCAGTAGAGTTTCTCTCTCAGGTGAGTCCTCTGGTGTGTAATGAAGTTGGAGCTATTGCTGAAGCCTTTGCCACAGTCGGGGCATTTGTAGGGCTTCTCTCCGGTGTGGATTCGCTGGTGGATGATGAGAACCGAATTCCAGCTGAAGCCTTTCCCGCACTCGGGACACCTATACGGCTTATCTCCCAAGTGGGCTCTCTGGTGCATCACCAGAATGGAGCCCCGGCTGAAGCGCTTGCCACACATGAGGCATGTGTAGGGCTTCTCGCCGGTGTGGGTCCGCTGGTGCACCACCAGCTGCGAGCGCTGGCCGAAGCTCTTGCCGCAGTCGGCGCACGGGTAGGGCTTCTCCCCGGTGTGGGTCCGCTGGTGCTTGATGAGGTTGGAGCTCCAGCTGAAGCTCTCGCCGCACGTCAGGCACTCGTAGGGCTTCTCGCCCGTGTGCACGCCCTGGTGCGCGATCAGGCTGGAGCTCTGGCTGAAGCTCTTCCCACACACCCCACACTTGTAGGGCTTCTCCACCATGTGCGTCCGCCGGTGGGTGGCCAGGTTGGAGCTGCGGCTGAAGCTCTTGCCGCACTCGGCGCACTGGTAGGGCTTCTCGCCCGTGTGCGTCCGCCGGTGGGTGATGAGCGCCGAGCTCTGGCTGAACTTCTGTCCGCAGTCGGTGCATTTGTACGGTTTCTCCCCGGTGTGGATTCTCTGGTGTCGGATCAGGTTGGAGTTGTAACTGAAGCTCTCGCCACATTCCTTACACGCATAGGGTTTTTCTCCGGTGTGAATCCCCTGGTGAGTGTTAAGGCTGGAACGGTTGCCAAAGCTCTTCCCACACTCGGGGCACGAGTAGGGCTTTTCACCCGTGTGCGTGCGCTGATGCGCGATGAGGTTGGGGCTCCGGCTGAAGCTCTTGCCGCACTCGGCGCACTGGAAAGGCTTCTCTCCCGTGTGGATCCTCTGGTGGGTGATGAGGTTTGCACTCCGGCTGAAGCTCTTCCCGCAGTCCCGGCATTTGTAAGGTTTCTCTCCGGTGTGAGTCGTTTGGTGTCTACTAAAGTTTGAACCGTCGCTAAAGCTCTTCCCACACTCATCACACTTGTAGTATTTCTCTCCCGTGTGGGTCCGTTCGTGTGTGATGAGGTGGGATTTCCGGCTAAAAGTTTTCCCACACTGGGGACATTCATAAGGCTTCTCACCCAGGTAGGTGCCCTGAAGGCCTATTAGCTGGCCGACTTCCCTTCCTTCGGATGGCACGTCCCCGCGGTCCTCACGGGCGGCATTTCCCTGGGCGCCCCCAGAGCTGTAGTCCCTCTCAAAGTCGCTCTCCCCATCAGACTGCTGGGCACCTTCCCCTCCGGGTATTTTCAAGAACATCTCATGGGACTCCACATCCTCAAACATGTCTTGACCTGAGTTCTCCCCATTCTCAC